CCCCATGTTAGCAGTTTTGTGACTGTTCCCATATCCTGTGGCTGTGGTGGTGCCCACTACCTATCTCTAAATCCCCAAAGTGGCCACAGGCTAAACAGGGCTGGGGATCCTGGCACTTTAGGGTATGGGGCACATTTGTCTTTTAACTGTCATATAAAATATAAAGGGAATAATCTATTGGGAAATCCTCCAGGCACAAGCCTCATTGAAATGTAGGGCAGGACAGTGCTCTTCTGCAGTCCTTATTCGTTTCAGTGGGACACCCAGATGAACTTCCTAGTGAATTGCATGTAAAGGTATCTAACAGGTGTCAATGGCATTTCTTAAAATGAATAGGGGTGTTATTAAAGCAGAATATGGCAAAAAAAAAGTTCTCGAGGTATGCCTTTAAAAATGAAAGGCTTTTAGATTTTTAGGAACAAACTGACAAAAGGGGATGAAGATGAACAAATAAGGGCAAAATGCAACCATTTCGAGTACAAAGAATGCACAGAAAAAATACATCAGCATGTTATTTTTATGCACTATAAATTATGATTAATTTAATTTGCAAATAAGAGCAACTTAAATGCATTTTTTCATTGAGAGAAAAAGTACTAATAATGCCAACACACTTCATTGACTAGCAGCTCAAAGTGCTCCTTCAGTTCAAACTTTATTCACTGGAATGGTGTTAGCAGTAGTCTTTTAGGATCAGAACCCAAACACTAAAGACCTGCCGTATCCTATTTGCAGAAATCATCTCCTCTTAAGGGGAGGCTACAATTGCCCTGAGCATTCTGCTTGATGAGACTGTCTGCAGCATAAGGGTCACAGATTATACCTTTATCCCTCAAGGCAATTAGCGTGCTGAGGTCTATTTTTGGCTTGGGATCTGCATATTTGAAAAGGTGCATATGCAATTTTCATTGGATAGTGACCTTTAGCACCCAACTGGTGGTTGTTATTGGAGGCACCCAGGCTGGGGCCAAGTCTCAAATGATTTCGCTTGCATCCTGTTGTACTGCAAGTACATAATTTGGCTGATGTAATAGCAGAAAAGAACAAGGCTGTTTTTAGACCCAATGTAAAAGTCAAGCATCAACAGTTCACAACTTTTTAATCTAGAGCAGGCCTATAAACTTCAAACAGAATTGCTTGGCAGTAAATGAGTTGTAAACTGCAGGATCTTCATAAGAGCCTAAAGTGCAGAAAAAGGCTGTCAGTAGTTTTAATGCTATCCCCAACCTTATTTAACCAGCCTTTATGCACCTTAAACTGCAGTTATGATTGACTTTCTCTTTAAAATTATTCACTACAATTGAAGACCACTCCATAGATAACATTGTTAAGAAATGTTAACACAGTTACAGACAAGACAGTAACAGTCTAGTGGCTTTTTGTAATGCAGCACAAATCCGACTCAAGAACAAAAAAAGAAATTAGCAGGGTTGCACAGAACCTTAATATTTCTTACACAGACTTGCTTACCCCTTTATTAGGTTATCAAACCGAGAAATTTTGAATAACCATGTCTAAGCCTTAAAAAGCAAACATAAAAACAAAGACAACTTGAGAATTAGGCATTTTTTGTGGAGGCAGGGCACATTTTCATTGGTTCCCTTTTTTGAGGAGCATTGCTGAGGGAGCCTTGAACTGATCATAAAAAGGCCATATGACCCAAGCTGTTTGAAGGACAAACAACTTTCATTGACTTTACACGGGATTTTGTAAGAGTCATGACTTTTTACAAAGATTCTAGACTTCTCTCTGAAGAATTAAAGGATGGCAAGCTTTGCATCAGTCATGGAACCAATGGTCATATCACTGTGATTTTCTTTTGAATGGTAATGCAATGTCCTTTAAAAAAGATGATCAGCTTGATGCATTAATGAGGCACAAGCAAAGCTTAATCTACAGTGGCATGTTATGAAATTGAGAATAAATATAAATTGAAAGTTTCAAGTAATAGTACAATACCCCCAAATCTATGACTTTGCAATATTGGCCAGGTCCACAACTTTCTGGACACATCTCCTGTATAGGCAGGTACTTTGCACTGGAGAAATTCCATCTGGATTATGTACTAGCAGTGCAGTCATATGCATTTCAGTCAGTTCATATGATGAAACTGAACCCCATCAGTTCTCGAGCCATTTATACAATGCTCTGCCAAGGTGTCTAGTTTCAGCGGCAAAAGCATCACCTCTTGTTTGACTGAAAATGGGTTTGGCTAGCACCCTGCAAAGTGCACTGAGTTGATTCTGCATAAATAAAATGTCAACTGGGTTAGCTTTTTCACACAGGGAGTATGATGCACAGAAGTTGAGGTAACTTGCTAATGTCGCCTGATGAATATGCAAGGCAAGTGGATTTATGGCAAAGTCGGATGAACAGGGAGAAACTGTTAACCAGCTCATCGCTTGATCCATTTGCTTATCCTGAACATTCTTCTACTCAGAACATGTGTGTGTGTGTGTGGGGGGGGAACCAACCATTAGTGAATAATAATGATGATGATGATGATGATGATGATGATGATGATGATGTCCTGCCCAATGAAACTGTGTTATGGCAACTGCAGAGGGTTATGTGAATCAGCACTAAGAAGCTCATTTTTAAAGGGGGGGAAAACACATTTTTCTGTAGTTTTATAGAAATGCATAGGGTTGCCAGATCTGAGTTGGGAAATACCTGGAGACTTTGGGAGTAGAGACTGAGGAAGGTGGAGTTTGGAGAGGGGAGCGACCTCTGCAGGGCATAAATGCCATAGATTCCACCCTCCAAAGCAGCCATTTATCTCCAGGGCAACTGATCTTGATTATCTGGAGATCAATTGTAATAGTGGGAGATCTCCAGGTGCCACCTGGAAGCTGGCAACACTAGAAATGCAGCTGGTGCTAGAGTTGTGCAGCATAAGAAACAGAATGCCTGAAGCATCATTCTGTCTAAGAATGTGGCCTCTCTTTTCATGTGCATGTCCTTGGGAAGTGACTTGTTACCAGGGCTTTGTGTACTCAGCGTAACATTAAGAACTAAAACTCTATGTCCAGGCAATTGGTAGCACAATGCTAAGCAAAGTTACACGCATTTAAATCAATGGGATTAGGATCTAGTAACTCTGGTGAGGATTGTAGTGTTGATCCCTGTGCCTTTGCCAATTATGGGGATGGTAAACATCTAAACAATGGACCATCATTCTCAACCACTGAAGGTGTCTGCAGGCATTGCCATACACTTTTAAGCACCTCTCTTTCTCTTGTTTTTTTAAAGATGGGATTCTTAGGCAGCTTGAATGCTGCATCCAAAGTCAATGCATTGCCAACACCAGCATTCTCTTCAATGTACTGAAGAAATCCCCACACTCTTATCTGAACCTGGGCATATCCCACCCCTTAAATAGTTCATCTATGCTTCTGTTCTTTTCAGTTTTGATCTTCTCATTATCTTACTTTGCCTATCTATCAACAGATGGGTGTGGTCCTCATCCTCTCTAAGTGGATTGGTTAATCTTTAGCTTAGATCTTGCTTTAAACAGACTTTTCTTTGTAACTTGTCCCCACGTCCACCTCTCTGTTGTTTGAAGCTCTTATTATAAATGGATGTACACTTCATGAATTTAATGAAGTGACCTCTGACTCATGACAGTTTATGCTTGGATTTGTCAGTCTTTAAGGTGCTGCTGGACTCCTGCCTTACTATGCCATGTTCTTTCCTGCTGTCTCTTCTACAGAATCATGGCATGCACATCACCTTGTCTATTATCTCTGCTGATGTTTGTCTTGCATCTGAATCCATTTTCTACACAGGATCTTATAGCTCTCTTTTTATTCCTTCTATGGGACTGTCCTCACCATCTTCACTTTTTGCAAGTGCTTGAAGAGCCTTCGTAGAGCCGATTGCTAAAGAATAATTTTAGTGATCATGTCATGTGAACCTCCAGCCCCAACATCTTGTTTCATTTCCTTTCCATCCATATTTCTGAAGACCTAGTCAGGGCATCGCTATAGCAGGGGTCATACTTTACACGGCCTGCATGCTTTGGCATTTATGCCTGAATCTCACAGATACGGCCTCTCCCATACAACTCCACAAGGCAACTTCCAAGCAAGACGCAACACAGGCTCAAATGAATACCATTTCTACAGCATTCATCTGTGCCCACCCCTATGCTACATTACCTTCGGTCTTGCATTTGGTCCATGGTTATTTCATCTCCACATTCTTTAGGAAGAAAACTGCAAGCTGAATTCACTGACTTCACTCCAACAAAATCATTAACTTCATAATATACTGACAGCAGATCGTGTGCCATAAAATCCAGGTCAGCTCATTAAAAGTAAACAACAGCATTTAATGTGATTAAACAGAAAGGAGAGTGAGGATGCCCACTGAATGCTTAAACAGAAATAAAAATAAATAAATTGGGATATGCAGACTCCACATTTGGGAAAGAGAATGATGAAAGGTAGTTTGTAACATCAGGAGGACTGCAGACCACAGAGATTCTCCCAAAAAGTGTCATTAATCTTGACAATGCTTGATAGGCACAAGGGAAACAATCAAATGCAGTCATCCCCGAGGAAACTTATTGCTAAAGCTGCAGTATCACTTTTTGCAAGTAAGATGATCGCCTGGGTTTGGAAACAATGAATCAACCCACTCCTTTGGAAATCAGAAAAATAACTCTGTCATGCCATTTTCATCTCCCTTGCAAAAGCGGTGCTGCTTTTCATCCATAACCATATTTCATCCAGTGTGAACAACTCAGAAGAAAACTTGAAAGGTAATTTCCACAGCGAAACAGAGTAATAACTAGAACCGATTTAAAAGGACAAAATCAGATTGGACCATTCTAAGGGCAGGCTTAGACCTCCTTACAAAAGACAGTTAGCGGCCTACCAGAAAGTGAGCACTTGTTCATGAAAAACCCATTCAACTTCCTACAGGTTTTGCACAGTTTCTTCTATGGAAATATTTTTAGGAAATCAAGAGTTGTGCTGTTGAATGAAGATCCCTCATCAGTCCTCTTCTGTGCAGCCCAAGAGCTCTGACCGTAAAGTGATCCTGCCATACCATGACCAAGGGAGGATCCTTATGTGCTGTGCATAGATTGGAGGGTCAATGACATTCTTTCTGTGAGTGTCGTTGTCAAAATTTCCTTGGAATACCTGAAAAGTAATCAAGAAGAAAATAAGTGATGGCAAAACAGTAAAAAGACCAAGATAAAAGAAGTGGCATGCAGCAAAATAACAGTCGATTAGAATTGCCAGATGGTGGCCGGACAACTCCAGGAGCTTTGGATATCAGACTACATGCTGATGTCATGTCCAAGCAAAGCCCCAGACACAGCATCAGTGCAGCACCCTAGAAACTCTACGGTATTAGGAATACTAGCTATGGCCCAATATATACAGTGCAATTTTAAACAGAATTGCACCCTTCTAAATCCACTGTAGTAACAGGAACATCAGAATGAAGATTTAAGGAAGGGACAGCTGAGATCCTCAACTGTCTGGGACAGGCAGATGTATTCATACCCATGGGTGATTTATTCAGAAAAGCAGAGGGCTGAAATCCTAAGGTCCACTGACAAAATTCCACAAGCAGTTTCCTGTTGTCATTAAAATACTCACAAATTGTCGTGTTTTCTGGTGGGATTCTGACCCTTGAGGCTAACTCATTTTTTGATGCAGAAGGTCACAGCACTGAGGCATTCATACATTAGGTAAACAAAGCCTCTAATTAGGTGACTACATTTGTCTCTGAAGCCCTCTTTCCTATTCATTACCACAACATGCAGCAGCCAAAGAAAATCAGAGGATGCTTGTTTCTAGTTTACATCTTTCTGCTGTAGAATGTTTTGCTACATAGGAAATGAATATCTTTAAATTACACTTTTTGGCAAAGTGTGGTAGCCCGAACAATACAGGGGAAATTGTTGTTTCATTCACTTTTATAATGCTGGGATTATTTTTATCACTGGTTTGCAGCTTGGCGATAGATCATTTTTCTAAAAATTAGCTAATGAATGAAATGTCACCTATTCCAATCAAATGTCAGCTAGCAAGGCAATCATATTGAGCAGTGTATAAGCCAGACTAAATTTAACCGTCTCACCGATATGCATGGCATATTATGGCATGCATTTGTTCGGGTAGGATAAGCTAATGTGCGGACATGTATTCTTTTTGGCCCTTGCCAGATAATTGTTTTCTTGTACAAGAGTTTGCATAAGTCAGTTCACAGGATAGAAAGAGAGGATCCAGAATCTTTCCCCCAGTCACTGTATCCAATCCTGGCAAAATAACAGTCTTCAGGATTCTGTTACTAGGAAAATGTGAATACCACCCCATTCCCCTGCTGTAACATGGGATGCAATGTGGAACATGTTGGCATGAATGTCATAGGCACCTTTCTGTTACGGCTGTGGTATCACTGGTAACCAGCACAACACACAACTTTTTTGTACAATTTTAAAATAGGTTTTTAAATTAGTTTTCATTTATCCAACTTTTTAGAGCCTCGAGTATTCCTGCCTGTACCACTCTAGAAGAACACTTACGTAGCCTTTTAAATGTAGCAAAACAAAAATAGAAGATAAGTAAGTAAAACAATATAATCCTGGAAAACATCAGCTAGGCTATCTCCTTCTTCATAACATTCTCTTGACATTTCTTTAGTTTTTTCTCAAGCACTCAAGCCCTCTGAATAATTTTATTTTTTTTTAGAGCTAGACTGATTTGTTTCTCCAGTTTTGGAGTGCATATCTACCCTGTTCAAAATAAGTGTCCATAGCAGCCCTGGCAAAATTAATGCATTCAAACTTTGGCAGTTTCTGCTAAGATTTACACCAAGGGTATCACTCATTTATCAGTTTATCATACAAACATCTTGTCAAAAGGAACTGGACAGGCATAATCAGTTTACATTGTTGAAGATACTGGAAAGCCCTCTAGATGCTGTTTTCTCAACACATTGGCAAGAAATCAGATAAATAGAAATGAGAGGTGAAACGTCCAGTGATTAAAGGGTCTAAACAACTTAAATGTTTTGCAAATGCAAGCTAAGAAAAAATAATGGCTCCCTTCCAATCATATGCATATATAGCCTTAAATAGGAAGCACTTTATTATTGTTATTATTGTTATGATTTTACTGTTTTATCTGGTTTTATGGATGGGCTTATGCCCCTTGTAAGCCGCCCTGAGCCTGCTTGCGGGGAGGGCGGGGTAAAAATGCCTAAATAAAAAGTAAATAAATACAGACTTTTAAAATCAAAGTCAAGTATATGGACACATGCAGCTGTCTTACACTGAGTCTGAGCATTGGTCCATCTAAGTGAGTACTGTTTACTCTAACTGGAAGTTGCTATACAGGGTCTCAGATGTAAAAATCTATACAATATTGATACTGAGACTGCATTTGGTTGGCCTTTCCCTTCTTTCCCATCGGTCTTACATCCAGGGGTCATTTCGTAGAAAAAGAGCTAGGGGGACTCATTAGCATAACTCATTAGCATATGCCACACACCCTGACATCACCGGAAGTGTGTCCTCCCCACAGCCAGCGGCGACCTCCAGCGGGCACCAGCAGGGAGCTCCAGGCCCCGCCCTCCCGCACCTCACCCGGGGGGATGGCGTCCCCCCGCGTCCCCCCCAAATGACCCCTGCTTACATCCATAACCAACTCATCCCTGCCATTCATGCCATTTTCAGCACGAAGGCTGAAAACTGTTACGGGGGGGGGGGCAGGACCAGGATGCAACCAGCATGATTTTATCAGAGCTTCTTGGAAAAACAATGATAGCCCAGAGAGATACAGATCCAAGACTTTTTAATATTATTAATGAGGACGTCTTAGTACTAACCAAGCTATATGTTCACACAATGATCTTTTATACATTAACATTTCTTTCTAGCAACCCCCCCCACACACACACAACATACTGGTTTCATCAACACTTTCCCCTAACAAGGTTTTTTCTTCTCATGTGACTCGATATTGAGCATTTGGGAGCTACTTCCTGTGCCCTGTTTTTTGGTGAAAGAACCAAGCCTACCTCCTCCCTGCCCTAAGACATTCCTTCATTTCCTTATTTGGCAAAGTTTCCCTGTGCCATACCCTCCACTAATCAGGAAACTCTTCTTGGAGCTCATCAGAACTCCCCACCCTTTCCAAGGCTGGGGGGAAAAGGAATTGTTCATACTCTATTTCAGTTTCAACAGTACATCCCTATACATGTTTACACAGAAGTGAGGCTGATTTCATTTATCTGGGCTTTAAGTGCTCTTAGTGTTGGAATATACAAGGTCTATGACCCTCCAAGACAAATAAAAGGGGAGAGTTTGAAATAGCCACCCCTGAAAAACAGTTTCATATTAACTAAAGATGAAACCAAAAGTCATATATGGTTCTTAAATAGAGCATGCTCAATGTATATGAGTGCACACAGAGACTTTTTTTGAAACTCTAAATGAAGAAAAAAGAGAGACACTAAATGTACTTGATAGGAGATCGGTTGTGGCAGAAGGGGTAGGATTGGGAACAATAAATTGCAGACTCCCAGACAGAGAGGTCATAGAAATCCTTACTGAGAGCTGGTTGTATGTGCCACAACTAGCAAATAACTAGCTTTCAGTAAGAGTTCTTGTAAAAAGAGGAATGGCGACTTCGTTTGGGGAAAGGTGTCTTATCAAACAAGATGGTGAACTGATTGTAACAGGGAGAGTGCATGAGGATTTATATGCTCTGGACATATGCACACAAAGTGCGAATTTGACCAACAGTTGCAATCATAATAAATTCAGTCCTGGGGATAAATTTTACAGACTCCAACTGGACACAAATTTGGAATTCCCTTTCAAATGAATCTAAAATATGAAATATTCAGCTTCAATTTTTCAAATTGATATCAAATTGATATTTATTACCTCACTAAATCCATTTGAAGAACAAAAATTTTAACCCAATGTGTTGAAAATAATGTAATCAAGTAGGGGCTTATTTCCTTAACTGGCAGGAATGTAATGTTGTTCAATCTTTTTGGAAAGAAGTCCATAATATGATCTGTGTAGTTGTGAACTTTTCTCTTCCATATTTGCCAGAATTTCTCCTGTTAGATTTTTGGGCAAACCTACAGCCCCCAAAACAACAGAAATTTTTAATTTCATAAGAACATAAGAGACGCCAATGTTGGATCAGGCCAAAGGCCCATCCAGTCTAACAATCTGTATCTCACAGTGGCCAGAAATACTAGTGCCATCAGGAGGTCCACCAGTGGGGCCAGGACATTAGAAGCCCTCCCACTGTTAACCCCCCCAAGCACCAAGAAAACAGAGCATCCCTTGCCCCAGAGCCCCTATCTAAGCCTTGTAACTAATAGCCACTGATGGACCTCTGCTCCATATGCTTATCTAATTCCCTTTTGAAGCCGTCCATGCTTGTAGCACCCACCACTTCCTGTGGCAGTGAATTCCATGTGTTAATCACTCTTTGGGTGAAGAAGTACTTCCTTTTATCCGTTCTAACCCGACCGCTCAGCAATTTCATGGAGTGCCCACGGGTTCTTGTATTGTGAGAAAGGGAGAAAAGTACCTCTTTCTCTACCTGCTCTTTCCCATGCATAATCTTATAAACCTCAATCATGTCACCCCTCAGTCGTCGTTTCTCCAAGCTAAAGAGCCCTAAGCGCCTTAACCGTTCCTCATAGGGAAAGTGTTCCAACCCTTTTATCATTCGAGTTGCTCTTTTCTGCACTTTTTCCAAAGCTATAATATCCTTTTTAAGGTGTGGTGCCCAGAACTGCACACAGTATTCCAAATGAGGTCTCACCATTGATTTATATAGGGGCATTATTATATTGGCTGATCTGTTTTCAATACCCTTCCTAATAATCCCCAGCATAGCATTGGCCTTCTTTATTGCAGTCACACACTGTCTCGACATTTTCAGTGAGTTATCTACTACAACTCCAAGATCTCTCTCTTGATCTGTCTCTGCCAGTTCAGACCCCATCAATGTGTATTTATATTTAGGATTTTTGGCTCCAATGTGCATCACCTTGCACTTGGCCACATTGAACCCCATTTGCCATGTTGACGCCCACTCGCCCAACTTTGACAGATCCCTTTGGAGTGCCTCACAATCCTCACTGGTTTTCACCACCTTGA